TTTTCAAAAATTAAGATTGATTTTTATGTTCTCTGTTTCGCTTTTCGACATTTTCAAAAACGTTCTTGATTGGCCTTATTTTTTAGAGTTAATTTAAGAATATGTTTTTCCAGGAAATATTATTCTGAGCATTGAAATGTTAGTTTCAGTGTTGCTATGCTGCTAAAAGATTTTGCTATTTGGCCCCAAGTGTACTGTCCTCAATCGATTTTTTTTTCTCTTTTTTTGCCGAATATTCATTTTTTGACCAAATCGCAATTCATTCCCACATTCGACCAAATCATATTAGTTGTGGAAAAAATAACCAGGCTTTACGATAAAACTGTACCGAAATACCGTATCAAAAAGTGATTATTTAATTGTGCGATTAACAATCACGTATCTTAGTAACATCATAGTTAAATAAAGGGATCATCCAAGTCATGTGGAAAAGTATAGAAATAATAGGTGGGAAATTACTTATATTTATGCTGAATTGAGCACGAATAAAGCTTGTCAAATGCACGACTTAAAATTTGCATGTCGTAATAGAATAATTGAAATTTTTTATGATACGTGGGAACGCATAGCAATAACTGCCGAAAAATATTGTTGAAAAAAAGAATTTCAAAAAAAAGATAAAAAATCACTTAGATTTAAGATGAAATCGTCACAAATAAAGTGCACCAAAAAGTGATTATTTAAATGGGCGATCTAAAACTCGCATCGTAATAAAAATTCGAGATTTTCGAAATCACGTAGAAATAACTGTTTAAAAAAATCATTCATATTTACCATAAAATCGGCTTAAAGAAAGCGCGTTAAACGTACATTTACTAAAGAATCTGTTAAAATTGATTGTGTCAAAGCGTGATGACTTAAAAATGCGATTAAAAATTCCCATTTTTAAAATTTTTTTTATTGTGTTTAGAAGCTCTCGCGGGCCGCACTTCAATAGTCGAAGGGCCGCATTTGGCCAGCGGTCCACAGGTTGTGCACCCCTACGGTGGCGTTAAAAACCACGTGAGAGAGCTTGGAAACAAAACAGAAAGAACGAGAAAGATCCGCGGGTGTTTTATAAAAAGGGCCGCCGGCAGTATTGGACAAATTCAAGGACCTATCAAGTTTTTCAAGGACCTAAGACGTTTTTCAAGCATCTAAATTTAGTAAAAAAAAATTCAAGGACTCTCAAGGACCGTGGGAACCCTGTTTATATATTTGTATAAATTTATCAATACGGTTACAAATAACATGTATAGATTTATAATTATAATAAAAATACACATGGCAGATATATATGGTCTACCAAATCATTTATCATACCACAAATCATTTATCATTAGTTATGGAGGAAAAAAACTATATATCACATCAGGGCTCGAAAAAAATCAGAAATTTTACCCGTCGCCGAGGACGGCTTGTTCAACAATGTACCAGTCCTCTTTTGAAACTAACCCGTCGCTTCTAAATAAATAAAAATATAATTTTCTCTTATTTATTACTAACATTTATATAAATTGCACAATGAATTAGTAGTTACTAGGATTACAAATACTAGGATAACATTATACAGTAATAAAAGAAATACTAGGTTACTAATAGTAAAACCTAGTATTTCTTTAATGAAATAATTTAAATAACAAAGGTCAAGTTATCTGTCAATTATCATGGTACTGCATTTTTTAAATGAATCAAATACAATGTTTGCCAGTTCCACAATAAAGCCAATAATTTACAGAGGTTTCTGCACAGAAATCTGAAAGAGGCTTTCCATTTAGGTAGATGTTCAAAATTGCGGTTGACGCTTCTTGTTTAAGACCAGTAAGTAATGTGTTTTTTTGTAAGTTCATTGCTGAAAAGCCCCTTTCAACCGCTGCAGTACTCCCAGACAGAAAAAAAATAAATTCCACCATGCGCAGTATGTTGCTGTATTTTGAGATTAGAGGGTCATTTTAGAAGTGAGAAGCTAGACTCTTGTAAGTTAACAAAAATTGAAAATATATCACGAACATTAACGGGGAAATGGCCGTCCGCGCGGACGTTGGATTCGAGAAATTTGTTGTCCGCGGGGTATTTTTGACCGCCGAGGACGGGCGGTTTTTCGAGCCCTGTATCATATATACCGGTATATAAGTAGACTTTTCAAACTTTAAAATTTCAAAAAAATCAAGAGGTTGAATTATACACTGTTAATAAAGTTGAACATTTGTTGATTGTGAAATATTGATGCATTATAAACAATGAAATAGTGATAAACAATTATCTATTCATTTACCCTTTCGAAAAAGTACTTTTAATATATTATATACAATTAATTTTGCTTATTCTCTCATCTTGTTTTCTTTACATATAAAAGTCTTATTTTTTTTTAAAAAAATATATATATATATATCATAAAATATGTTTGGTTATGAACAATCTCTGTGGCAGAATTTTCTCGGGCTTGCTGCGGCAAACTTCCCTAGCACTAATATTTTGCTTTAGGATACTTTTAATTATGACAATTATTAATGTAAAGTAACAGAAACATTGTGGTTATGAAAGAAAGTATATAATAAAAATGTATAAAAAATTTTAATTACAAAAGTAATACTTCATAAATTCTAATATTATAGGCACTACTTTTGCATTTTGTAGGCAGAAAAATACAATAATTATTTCTTCTTTCGCATTTTGTAAATCATCACGCAAATTAAAATTCATGAATAAATTAAACGATAATAATATAAAATTCATACATAATTTAAAAATCGTAAAATCCGCGCAGTAACTCCCAAAATATAGACCTCGAATTGCACGAATAAGACTCTTTAAAAAAGAGATATTCAAAAAAGTGTAAGTAAAATATGGTGCTCTTTAAAGAAAAAACATCATTTCTAGACCGGACTATCGCTTAAACTTTCACTGTTTCTGCCTTTTTTATTTTATATTATTAGTTTGAAATTCTAGCTGAAAAGCCAGTCAATATTGATTTTTTTTTAAAAAAAACCTCAAATGCGAATAGAAAAATCATGATTATTCATTTCCTCTATGCGCAAGAAAGACATCTCTGGAAAAAATTCTGCAAGAAAAAAATAAAACATTTTTCAATATTATTCAGAAAGGAAAACCAAAATTTTTCCTTCCCAAATGAAAAATCTTTCTGCAAAGACTCTGTAATATTCTGCGACAATGTCGCTGTGTCTGCCACGGGATGAACAATTCTGTATCAATTTATATCTCATATAATCTATTAATATGTTATATACAATTAATTTTGCATTTGCCTTATTATAAAAATTAACTAAAAAAACAATATTTTAAATTATGTTTAAAAAAAATTAAGAAAAGTTAAGACAATCTATTTCAAAGTATTAATAACAGAACATAATCTGTTATTGATTTAATAACTTTAGCAGTGTCATCACATGAATCACAATCAGCAGAGAATTCTACTTCATCATCATTTTAATTAATACTTTACAATTTTTTTCCTCATGCTTTTGATATTAGGTACTTTCATATTTGGTTTTTTCATCACCCAACTTACCAGAAGTGATCTTCAAATACAATGGGATTAAGCTTATACACCAGAATATACAATATATTGTTCAATTGAGAGTTAATATCAAATTTAAAAATAATTTTTTTATTCTTGATTCCTATGAGACACATCGCTAAAATGTCATAATCACATTGTTTGCGTATATAAAAATTATAAAGTTTTATACATGGTTTTGTGATGAAATTCTATTAGAAAAAGGTTTTAAAGCTGAAAATACAAAGAAATTATTTTGCCAAGTAAGGTTTAGGCATTAGCTCTATTCTAATATGCATTTTTACAGAAATCACAAAGCAAAAATAAATTAAAATCATCGTTTTTGAATTATTTTTTACTTAATAAATCAGTTATAGTCTCTATTTAGTTGAGATAGTTGACTACTAACAATACAAGTCTATGTGGATTTTGAAATTAGCCTGTAACAGTAATTAACATTAAACAATAGTTATTAATATGTAAAGGAAATCAATAAAGGAAACAAAAATAGATTTATGAATGAAACTTACATCAAACATAGCAGCAACTAAAAGCAATCATAAATTTATAAACAGTTAAACTTCAGGAAAATCTGTCCAAATATTGCAAATACATATGTCCAGTTGAATAATTTTTTCCTGAAATAGAAATTCATTTTAAAAACTTATTTTTACCACAAATACAGAAATTCCGCTTACACATTATTATAGAGCATCAAATACACTAAAAATCATTCAATTGATGCGAAAAAGATTAAAGCTCCATTGCAGGGAAAGAAAAATAGAGCACAAGCAGACTTAAGTAATTAAAATTAAACTATAGTAATAAATACAGTATTAATAAATATATGAAATAAAATAAAAAATTTTTGATACTAGAAAATAAATGTAAATAAATAAGAGTAATACTAATAGAAGAAACATAATTTGTAGGGACAAATTTAAATCAACTATGGTAATTTCAGCTCATGCTGCTGTCACTAAATATAAACAGGAGATTCCTATTATTAAATAATTGCTGGATTTATTATGCATTATTTTAAATAAGGATCTGCTAAAAAAAGAACTCGGAAATTTCAATGTTCTTGGTTTTTATAGAACAAGTGAGAGGAAAGTATGAAACATATTTAAAACATATAAAATAATCAGAATTTAAAAATAAATATTTTCTTCCAATACCCTCAAATTTGACATTCATTACTCAAGTACTGACCATAAGCAATGCACGATGCGGAAATCTCTCCTAACTCATAGCCATTGCCCAACAAGCCTTTACATGTTTGTTTTTTAAAAAATTTCAAGTTTTTGTGTCACTATTTGGTGTCTTGGCGATTATAGTTGGCACAACAGATCACAATATGGAAATATACAAAAAAAATTTGATTTCATTTGATATTTTGATTTCATTTAATACTGATTGATAAAGTACAATACTTAATCTTAAATATTTTTTATTGAACTACTTGGTTGAAATAGTCAGATATGTATTAAATAAACATGACTGATCTTGTAGATGATATTTCGATTCGCTATCTACTTTAAATCACTCTTATAACTAAAGTATCACACTTGGCTTATTTGTAGGGTTGGGGTTTTTGACGTCCTAAACTGATTTTGGACAGGGCACGTTGGTTTTCTGTCTTAAACTGTCCAAAACTGCCTTAAAGTGTCCAAAACCTTGAATTTAGGAAAAATCAAAAATTCTAGAGGTGAAACCATTGCACACATAATAATTGAATATATTAATAAATATTTGATACTCTTTATATAATTTGATTTAACTTATTAAAGGAAAATAGAAAAAGATTTACAGCTCATAAAGCTCCACAATTCATTAAACAACAAAAGTGAATACCTTATCATTTTAATATGAATAAGTGTGCTTTTAATATTGTTAAATTAGGCTTTTGCATAAAGATAAATAATACAACATTAAAAATAATTATAATCTTTTTTAATAAAACAGAAACTTGTCTTCATTCTGTTTCTTATTCAAAAATTAACCTATTACTTTTCACAATATTTTTTTAAAATTGTGTCATAATTTGAATAAGAGGGTTCTGGGAGGGTCAATAAGCTGCAAGAAATAGTTATGCTTTGAAATTAAAAGCAATTAGAGTACACAATGAAAAAATACCTATCACCAGGGAACAAATGAAAAAAAAATCAATCAACATAAGTATAAAGGGATTTCTTTAAGAAGCAGCAAACTCAATTAATTTTCAAAATTTGTCCTTTACTGCAATAACAATCCATTTTAACCTTGATTTTACTATAGTTATTGCAATTCACACAACAAAAAAAGACAAACTAGTGTAAACAAAATACAAATATTTCTTTTTTTTTTCTTCTTTTTTTTTTACTTACTCTTTTGTAACGTTAAGTTGTTTTCTTGCTCACTTGACACACATTAAAAAAAAAAAAATTAAAAATTTCAAATAAATTCATTAATTGAATAAAAAAATTTACTGTGATTTTCAATTTAGTTGAAGCATTTTTCATTAATGAAAGTTCGAAGAGAAAAATTCTGTTGAAAAACATTTACAAATAAGTAAGACAGTTCCCGCTGCATGCCATTCATACACCTCCAAATGAATTGCAGATTGACTGATCGCTAAAGAATATATTTCACCAATCACGTTCGCATTCCTCCTCAACGGCGATCGGATATGCTTAAATCGCATGTAGTGAGAATGAACCTTTTCTGCACCTTTTTTTCTTGCATTCCTCAAAGAAGAAGACAACAACAACAAGAAATGTGTGACAAGCTGTGACTGTGAGAATTATTAGATTAAATGTCTTATGCTTAGTTTTGAAATATAAATTTTATTTTTATGTCAAAACAAGACAAACATTTTCAATGTCTTGGCCATATTCTAACACATATTCATATATGAAATACGAAAAAGTTGTTTGAAATGAATATTTGTTCTTCAATCCTAAATACTTTTTTTCTCCCCCAAAAAAACCGCATTCCACAAGTTGTCATTAAGTTTGACGGATATCGTGAGAAATTATAGTTGTTAACATCTAGAAGTATTTGTAGATGACAAAAAGAAAAAGAGCTTTATAGTTATAAATACAAGCTATGCAGTATCTATTCAAACTCTCTAAATCGTCTGTTTTATTCAAATTAGTTGGTGTTCAACGTACTTCATTTTTAGAATCGTGCAATTTCTGAATAAATGCATGTACAATTCCTCAAGTTTAATACTATTTTACCTTAGTTTTTTTTTTAATATGTTCCATGTTTTATTCAGTTGTGTTTTGTGAGTGGCTAAGAACTATGATAAAGTTTCCTGATTGAATGATTGTACAGAAATCAACAAAAACATTTCATAGAACCAAAACAAAATGAAAGTAACTGTTTACTTTGGTAATGTTCGTGTTATAGTTCCATGTGGGAAAGGTGATATTCTTGTCAGAGATCTTATGGACTTGGCTATAACACGATATAAGAAAGCTACTGGAAAGGTAAGGCAGACTTTACATTTCTCGTTTTATTTTGTTACGCTACTAAAAATAGATAATTAACCACCTTTTTATGACTTTTACTGTGAAGCTCATGATGATTTATCCCATACTTATTAGGTAGTCACAATGATTTATCAATTTAGCTACTTATTATTGTTATTAAAAATTTAATTTGGGGGATATAGTTATATACTGGCAAAAGTGCATATCCCCTGAATTTCAGTGGGTTTTCTTTATTAAAAAATTGGACAAATAATGTTGGTTTTTTTCTGGAAAAGAATCCTTAATGCTGGTTAAGTGCAGTCTATTTAACGTGCAAAGAGATTTGTTACCCTATTTCGGGGTAGTTGCACATCTCTTTTTTCAGAAAAGGCTGCTGAATGACAATTTTTATTATCTAAGATGATAACTTTGAATAAATATTTATAAGTGCCATTTAATAATATTTTAACTATCCGTAACTGTCAAGAAAATAATATCTCCAAAATAATTGTGTCTTTGCTATTGTATGCTGTATTTTTGTCTAACTCTATAAATTGTGGTGTTCGTTTTAAAATTATGACCAATTGAACGTAGCAATACCTTGTGCTTATTTTGTACTTTCTGATGTATCTTTCTGCACTAAGACATTGAAATTTTAAAATATGTACGTTGAGGTTTGCTCCGGGGAGGCTAGCCCTTGCTCGTAGCCACTCCTTGAGTTGGTAACCTTTAGGGACAATTTTTTTTGTAGTTTCTCGCACGCAGTCTACTGCCCTTAAGTTTCTGAAATTGAATTAAGTTTTATTTCGATGTAGATCCTAATATGTAAATCTTCCGGCCGATTCTACTCTTAAAACCTTTAATTTGTATGATATGTTTAATTTAATTTATTTGTATAACTAACTTAAAAGATTTCCCTTACGGGTGCACATCTAAATATCAAGATTTGGTAACACAATAATTTTAAGTCTTTCACTCTATTATGAATGCTTAAAAATATGTATAGTGGGACTCGGGAAATAAAATAAAAATGCTTGTTAAATCGGCCTACTTTCTGAATCTAATACAAGAACAAAACAAAAAAAACGTAATATGAAATAAACTTACATTAATTGTTTTTTGATTCTTTAATAAGAAGTAAAAAGAATATTTAAAATATTGTTGATTGCATAGTTTTACAAAATTTTGTTTTAATCAAGTTTTGTCAGAAAATGAGAATTCTTTCTGCTTTGTAACATTTTTCTCCTTTTCTTAAGTTTTTATCTTTTAAATTTTTTTTTCCCAACATTTTAAACAGCCAAACATGATATAAAGAAAAGTAAGTGTCTGGCAGGAAATGAGATTTTCTTACCTGTGAACCTGAAGTCAGAAATGCTTCTCCATTTCTGTCAATATCCGAAGGTCTCAAAATACTTTTTTGTCATCTGGTAAAACGACAATGGGCTGACTAGGTTTCCAGTCTAACTGGCATTTTCCTTTTCTCTGGCAGAATTATTAAGAGAACAAGTTAGCTCGGTCCGTTTTAAAAACCCAGCTCTGGCTGTTATGAATGTTTTATAGTGACAGCTGGTTTCGGTGGTTTGAGAGAAGTTAGACATCTGTCAATAATATTCAGTTTATATCACTTTGAGTTTCATACAAAAAATCTGTTTTTTAATTTGTTGACTATATCAAATTATGTGGTAACTAAGCAGCATTTGCGGGAGATTTTATGTTTCTGTTTTAATTGGAAGAAAAGTGCAGCTAAGACGCATCGAATGCTTGTAGAAGTTTATATTGACAATGCTCCAACTGATAAATCATGTAGGGAATGGTTTCGATGTTTTAAGAATGGTGTTGTATACTATGAGCTGCTACAACCTGGCGATTCTATTACTGGCATTCGGTATAAGCTACAATTGATTCGTTTGAGCCATGCATTACGATAAAAACGGCTGGAATACGAGCAAAGAAATGACAAAGTTACTCTTCTGCATGAAAATGCTCGACCTCATGTCGAGAAAGTCGAACATTGCTCCTTGTGATTACTGATTGTTCCGGCGGATGCAACACGATTTAGCAGATCATTGGTTCACTTCTTTCTCAGAAATCAAAAATTAGCTCCTAACTTGGAACGCCTCAAAAGGCGAGAAATTTTTTCGCGATGGAATTCGAAAATTGCCTAAGAGGTGGGGAAAAGTAGTAGCCAGCGATGGACAATACTTTGATTAATCTGTTCATTAATTTTGTTCTGAAATAAACGCATTTTTGACCATAAAAAAAATCGTACCGAACTAGTTTGTACTCCCAATAACTTAAAAAAATAATTAAATTCTTTTTAAATGACAATATTTCAATAACTATATATGATATAATGAGTGCATAATTATTTATTAACATTTATAAAATTTTGTGTGTATATATGTATTGGGCAACCATCAGATATGGTTAAAAATATATAAAAAAATTAGGAACTCCAACTGCCATTTACAGCAAATCATTGTTGGATTGATGGTCACAGATTCGATTTTTCAACACCTCGTGTTATTCACAAATATATATTAAACAGTTTAAAATAAAATGAATAAAACCAACTATTTTCAATAAAAAATTTTAAATTACATTTCAAAAACAGATTCATATATCTTATTTGTATTATTGGAATATATGTGAAACAATATGTAATGTAATAATATTTGTTAAACCTATCTCTTTTGAAATGTTGAATTATGTTTTTTACAATTTTTAAATATTTCAATATAAATGTTATATCTGGCAATATCTAATTTCTGTTTTAATTTTACTTTTTCTCTTTTAACATAAAAATAAAGATGTCAAAAGAAATAAAGAAAATTTTCTATAAAAATAAGAAAATCAGTCATTATTTAAAGCAAAAAAACTTATTAGAATCTTTTGCTTTTATTTTTTTCAACCTTCATTTTACTCTTTGTCTAAATTAAATTATTTTATAAATTATGGTATTCTATGCTAATGCTCTTCTTTCAGTAATAATTGGTATTAAAAAATTAACTCTTTGAAATTAATATAAATAATTAAATATACTCTTTGAAATTTATGAATAATTATTTGTTTTCTGCCCATATTGTATACTTGCTTTTTGTATATTTAAAATTTATTTAGTTTATTTTGAGGAACGTAACGAATATTCAGCATTCGGTTCTACTGCGGGCTATGCGGTTGGCTGAATGTTTGGCCCTGTTTCATGTGAAATATTTCTTTAAAAAAGTATTTTTTGGGTAATTTTTTTTCTGAATATAAATAAATTTAATAAAAAGTAATAAGATTTACTAAAAAATATTCTAAAAATTGTGTTTTTTACTATATATTATTAGAAATAGTTTTTACACGAATTGCAAGTTCTAAAACTTGCATACAGCTTGCAATGTTCAGAAAGATTAATGGCAAAACAATATTTGAAGAATTTAAACTAGATTACTTCATACTGAACTTCAGATTTTGTGCTGTTGATTATTATTATATTTGTTTTTACGATTATTATTTGTTTTTATTATTATATGAATTTTGTTGTTTTTTCGCCATCTTTTGTTTTAAGAAGTTTTTCTGTTAGATTTTACTCTTTTATTTTCATTTACAGTAAGACTAACCAAGAACGTGATTTTGTATTTTGAGAACAAAAAACACTTTTTTTTACTGTTAACTTTTCTTTTTATCTGTTATGTGCATTTGTTATGATGTGTTATTATGACACAACATTTTTTAAGAAGTGTTTTTAATGAATGTTTTTCTTTTATGGTTATTTTCTTCTAGAAATATGCAATGTGGAAAAGTTAAATTGAAATTTTTTGTGTTTAATTTATCCTTTCAAAATTAAGAGAGATTTTTGTTTTGACTTCTATCCAACTTTTTCTTTTTTAAAAAAGTTTTGTTTTCATCCTCGTTTTTATTATAACACAGCAAAAAGAGAGTTTCTATTACTCTTCATTCTTTTTACTTCACTTTTTCTTGAAAATACTGTGATTGGAAAGCTGAGATGTTCAGCTTTAACATTTAAATTCTAGAACCAAGAACTATTTTTTCTCTTTTGCTTTTGTGTCTTTTGTCTATATGGGCGATTTTATGATAGTGGAGAATTTTTAAAGCGTTTCTGATAGACATTTTTATAGCGTTATATTTTTATAGCGTTTTATGGATACTATTTTTCTGGAAAATAGTTTTGTGTAGTGGTTTTGTTTTAAGAATTAAGAGAAATTTTTTTTACTACTACTATTTCACTTTTTTTCCAGCTTTACAGCTTTAATTCTTTTTAAATCTGTGTTAGTAAGTTTTTTATTTATTTTAAATGTTTCTAATGGATAACTATTATAGTTATTTACTTTTTACCTCATACCAATAATATAGCTAAGTTTTGATTATTTTTCAATAATGACTAAACTTATTGAAGTACTTCATGGTAAAATCACGACGACATTGTCGCAGAACGTTATAGAGTTCTAAAGGCAAAAGATTTTTCATTTTTGAAGTAAAAAAACAATTTTATCTGCAGAATTATATTCTAAATATCCCTTTTTCATGCATCACATCAGAAGGGGGAGAAATTCTCTTGATTTCCTATCATTTGAGAATATTAAAAAAATCAGCAATGACCGGCCGGCTTCAGCTAGAATTTCTAATTATTAAAATAAAATTAGGAAAAAATTCCAAACCCGCTGAAATTTAAAATATAGTTCAATCTAGAGGTGGTGTTCTTTCGTTTTTGTTTTTTTTAACGAACAATTTTACATTGTAATGAATTTTGACTGAGTGAGGATTTTGTTACAAATTCAGATCTGTAACAAATGAATTAATTATCTTTGCAGTACATTATGCTTTTATATTTTTTTTATCATGGTTTTTATATGGACGGAATGAAATGATTCAATATTTTTAATATATTGTGCACATAAAGTTTGAATCTTGCATTCATGGAATCACTCTTTGACACACTCGGCTTGCTCTGATATCATAGTTGTTTCATGAAGTGGTTCAATCATTTTTGCTACGAATTTTCAACTGGAGAA